TCAAAAATGGCAGGGGACAGAAGATAAAAAGGAAAAACTGATACATAGCAGTTCTGAAATCACATGTCCCATGTTGGGAGTTCCTTGATTAGGATTCAGGGTCTGTGAATAATGATCTTTCTTGGATTTTGAATATGCCCTATGAAGGGCAGGCTGAGATTTTTATTAAAGTCATAAACCCCTTGATTCAGTGTATGTACTCAGGGTCATAAACATTTGCTTGTGAGCATGTACTCACTTATGTAACCTGTTGGCAATATGCCTTCTTTGTCTGGTCTGCATATAAAAAAGACTTATGGAAATGACTAGGACTGGGTGGCTAGAGGCTGAGCCTAGGGCCTGGGGGGGGGTGTTTCTGCTGCCTTGGAATAAAGATATCTACTATCCCAACTGAAATTTACATCTTTCTCCACCTGTCAGAATTCTGAATCTGTTTCCTAGGGTCCAAGTCCCATCTGAACACTTTCTAAATTCTTCCCTGACATTCACACTATTTCATTATTTTTCATAAAAGACTGCATGTTTGCAGCTGCACATTTTCCACCTACTTCTTTTTAATTCACATTTTTTATTTATATATGACAGCAGAATGCATTAAAATTCTTATTATACATATAGAGCACAATTTTTCATGTCTCTGGTTTTATACAAAGTATATTCACACCAATTCATGTCTTCATACATGTACTTAGGGTAATGATGTCCATCACATTACACCATTATTTCTAACCCCATATCACTCCTTTCCTCTACCACCCCTCTGCCATATCTAGAGTTCATCTATTCTTCCCATGCTCCCCCTCCCTACCCCACGATAAATCAGCCTCCTTATATCAGAGAAAACATTTGGCATTTTTGGGGGGGGATTGGCTAACTTCACTTAGCATTATTTTCTCTAATTCCACTTATTTACCTGCAAATGCCATGATTTTATTCTCTTTTATTGCTGGGTAATATTCCATTGTGTATATATGCTAGATTGTTTATATCCATTCATCTATTGAAGGGCATCTATATTGATTCCACAGTTTAGCTATTATGTATTGTGATGCTATAAACATTGATGTGGCCATGTCCCTGTAGTATGCTGTTTTTAATTCCTTTGGGTATAGACGGGGAGAGGGATAGCTGGGTCAAATGGTGGTTCCATTCCCAATTTTCCAAGAAATTTCTATACTGCTTTCCATATTGGCTGCATCAATTTGCAGTCCCATGAGCACTGTGTATCTTTTTCCCCACATCCCTTGCCAACACTTATTGTTGTTTGTATTCATAATACTTGCCATTCTGACTGAAGTGAGATGAAATTTTAGTGTAGTTTTGATTTGCATTTCTCTAATTGCTAGCAATGATGAATATTTTTTCATATATTTGTTGAATGATTGTATATCATCTTCTTTCTGAGAAGTGTCTGTTCAGGTCCTTTGCCCATTTATTGATTGAGTTTTTTTTTTTTTTGTGTGTGTGTGTGTGTGCTCAGCATTTTGAGTTCTTTATATACCCTAGAGATTAGTGCTCTATCTTATGTGTGAGGGGTAAAAATTAGATCTCAAGAAGCAGGGTATCTATTCACCTCACAGATTGTTTCTTTTGCTGAGAAGAAACTTTTTAGTTTGAGTCTATGCCATTTATTGATTCTTTATTTTAATTCTTGCGCCAAAGGAGTCTTATTAAGAAAGTTGGGGCCTAATCCCACATGCTGGAGATTAGAGCCTACTTTTTCTTCTATTAGATACAAAGTCTCTGGTTTTATTCCTAGGTCCTCGATCTATTTTGACTTGAGTTTTGTGCATAGTGAGAGATAGGGGTTTAATGTCATTTTGTTGCATATGAATTTCCAGTTTTCCCAGCACGATTTGTTGAAGAGGCTATCTTTTCTCCAATGCATATTTTTGGCGCTTTTGTCTAATATAAGAAAATTATAATTTTGTGGGTTATTCTCTGTGTCTTAAGCCCCAGGCAAACATCATTCTAAATGGAGAAAAATTGAAGGCATTCCCTCTAAAAAATGGAACAAGACAAAGATGCCTTCTTGCACCACTTCTATTTAACATAGTTCTTGAAACACTGGCCAGAGAAATTAAACAGACAAAAGAAAGAGATACACGTAGGAAAAGAAGAACTCAAATTTGTACTATTTGCTGATGATATGATTCTATATCTAGAAGACCCTAAAAGTTCCACCAGAAAACTAAAACTAGTAAATGAATTCAGCAAAGTAGCAGGAGATAAAAATCAACACCCATAAATCAATTGCATTTCTGTATATCAGAGACAAGTCCTCAGAAAATAAAATGAGGAAAAATACCCCATTTACAATAGCCTCAAAAAAAAATCCTTGGGAATCAACTTAATGAAAAAAGTGAAAGAGCTATATAATGAAAATTACAGAACCCTAAAGAAAGTAATCAAAGAAGACCTTAGAAGATGGTAAGATCTACCTTGCTCTTGGATAGGCAGAATTAATATTATCAAAACAACTATACTTTCAAAAGCACTATGTAGATTTAATGCAATTCCAATCAAAATTCCAATGACATTCCTCATAGATATAGAAAAAGCAATCATGAAATTTACCTGGAAAAATAAGAGACCCAGAACAGCTAAAGCAATCCTTAACAAGAAGAGTGAAGCAGGAGGCATCACTATACCAGAACTTAAACTATACTACAGAGCAATAGTAACAAAACTAGCATGGTATTGTCACCATATCAGACTGGTAGACCAATGGTACAGAATAGATGACACAGAGACTAATCTACCTACTTCTTACTAATTGATGAGAAGTGGGGGGTCCAATAGCCACTTTTCATTTTTATTCTGTTTGTGCTGTTCATCATTGCTGGCAATGTGCCTACTAATATTTTTCTAAAATAGTGGACTTCCTATGAAGATTACTGTGGTTAATTACATTTGACAATACCCACATTCACAAATATCTTGAAAATAAGCTCCTTGCTACCTTGAGCTTTTGCTTAGATGGCTGCAGATCAAAGCCCTGATGATTTTACAGAACATATCTTTTTTTTTAAAACGTTTTTCTTAAAGTGGATCTGTGAGGCATGTGCTTGCTTTAAATGGAATTTTAAATAATTAAATGTGCCCTGATTCTTTGCTCTATTTGAACTCATGACTAACATTTGCAAAATTCTTTTTCTCTTTGTTTTGTCTCTGGGCCACATTTTCCTAATAGTCTTTGGAATAATTTCTTAATTAAGCAGTTTTATGTCTGGAGAGGTTGATTATTTTCAAAATCATAAAGTCATAATACTTTTTATTAATAATTATTCTCTCAATTTCTTTCCTCCCATTAGGTACAAAGTGCTTAGCTCTCTACCATTAAATCAAAGAACTATTCTTCCTTCAGTTTTCAATGACATATATCTCACTATTTCTTGACCTCTCACTAATACATGGCTCTCAAAGGCAAGAGGGATACTCATGATTTGTTGCAGGCAGCTTCCTTCATTAACGTTTTCCAAATGCCTCCAGACCCTCCCCACTTGCTGGTTCTATGTTCACATCCCCATTTTTAGGTATTTGTTATAGCAGCACCATACTTCAGGTACCAAAATCTACATTATCTATTGCTGCATAACAAATTTTCCCTATAATTAATGACACTAAACAACACATGTTTGTCATATCATAGTTTCTGCAGGGAAGAAATCTGAGAACATCTTATTGTTCTCAGAGACTGGTTTCCCAGTCTCACAGACCCCCATAAAGCTATGCTCAAGGTAGCATCTGGGGTTGCTATCTCCTATGAAGTCTTGATCTGAAAGATCTTCTATACAGCTTGTGTATGTGGTTATTGGCAGAATTAAGCTCCCCATGGATTGCTTGACTGAGGCCCTCAGATTCTCTCTGGACCCCAGTTGCTTTCCTTGTGGGCTTTTCCCTGAGGACACCATGCTGCACAAGGTGAGAAGGCGGGAGTGAGCATCCATGCAAAACAGAAACCACTGTCTTTTCTGACCTAACCCACATGACATCCCATAACTTTTGCCTTATTTATTCTGTTTGTTAGAAGCAAAGCTTTAGATGTAACCCACACACAAGGGGAGTGGATTACACAAAGCAGTGGATACCAGGAAGTGGGATCATTGGGAGCCATTTTACAGGACACCAGGACAAGCAAACTTCTTAAGGGACCAGGATTGCTGATATTACATTTAAGAGTTGGTTTCTGTTTGATCCACCATTTGCAGGTTTTGCTTTATTTTTATTCATCAAGTAAGTGCTAAATGACATTTACATGTAACATGCTGATTTATAATTGCTGCTTTATATCTCAAATGTCATATTATTTTTCCAGGAATATGTCCTTCATATCTACAGACTGACTAAGTCTTTGTACAACTTCTGTCCTTTATGGTATGACTACAAGCATATAATTCTCACATAAATATACACTCACATGCATATGTACATGAGCATGTATATGTACTATTACTATTATTCCTGCTACAGAAACAGAGAAACAGATTGCTTTTTCTGGAAGAATGGTAAAGTTCTTCCAGACTTCTGACATTTTTTAAACTATCATTGCATTTATCATTGTTATTGTTCTACAAATACTAGCTAACACGGTAGAACAAGAAAAATGGTGAGGTTGAAATACTGACACTTAGTGCTTTGATCAGATACATAAGTAGATGACCTAAGAAATATGAAAGATTGATTATGATTCTGTATAAAGCAAAAATTCAGAACTAGAATTTTAAAGCTAGTATTTGAAGGCTCAAAAAACATCATCTGGCAGTTACTATAATCTTGTGTTTAAAACACATATGTTCTTTTTTCACTGATAACAGGTTCATACAAAGAGCAACATTATTAGATAACTGAGACTTTGTCCTTCTTTATGTTATATGGGAAATTAATGTAAGCACCAGGTTGAAATCCATTCGGTATAATTATGCTAGCATCATGAAATGTGATAGGTGATAATTAAGAAGATTTCATAAAACTGTGTATAAATTATCACATTTTGTTACCATTTGTGGTCCACACACAGTGCCATCAGCCACATAAGCATTATCTCTTCCATCTGAACTCAAAGACGACCCAGGAATTATGGATAGACATACATGATCATGAATATATGAATAAACTGTATATTGAGCAGCAGTTTTATAAGTATTTTTATGTGGCCAAACACAAGTTAATTTTCCACAGAGAATATCCCTGGAAATGGAAAGCAGAATTTCCTTATTATTTTAGTTTTTAATGATACCAAATTCCAATTGAATATTGCATGAATAAAAACATAAATATTGTTTAGTCAATGGCACAAAACCATAAAAATATGAAATGGAAACATGTTTTATATTTTTATAAAGGTAAAACACATTTTAGAAACAAGTAAATGCAACCAGATTAATCAGCATTGTAGCAGAATTGAAATGTACATACTGAAATTAGATATGAATACATTATTTTCTTTTTTGATTATACAGCTCAAAAAGTATTATTATTCTCTATTTTCCAGTTATCTTAGGAGCATTCATCATAATTTACCACATTCTTTAGGAGAATTCACCACTTGTATCCCTTTTGATATAGGCTGGCCAATCTGGTGACTTTTTACCTAAAATTGCTGAGAGTAGCTAATTGTATTTACTCTTTCTGCATCTTCTGATATGCCTATGGTCCCTGTCATGATCTCTAGAAAATATGTTTCAGTACATCCTGAGCCCCCTGATATATATGTGCAGGGGTATACAGATGTTAAAAAGATTCGATTATGAGAGCTATAACCTCATCTGTGAATTAATCCATTTGGTGGATTAACAATCTGAAAGAACTATGGAGTAATACTGTAGGCATCTGGGGCATAGCTGGAGGAAGTAGGTTGGGGGTGGGGCATAATGTTGGGCTATATCTTATCCCTGGCTCCTCTCTCACTCTCTTTATGCCTCTGACTGCCATGAGTTGAGCAGGTTTCCTCTGTCACACCCTTCTGCCATGATATTCTGTCTCATTTGTGACCCAGAGCAATGGAGTTGGCTAACCATGGACTGAACCACTTAAACAGTGAGCCCAGATAAACCTTTCCTCCTCTAAGTTGTTCTTGTTGGTTATTTTGGTCATGATGATGAAAAGCTAACTAGTAGTACTGTTAGACCAAAGGCAACAGATTTCTGGCCATCTTGGAGAGAGATTAAGTGCACTACTATATCACACTTATCACACTTTCTCTTTTTATTGGGATCCACTGTGATATATCTTACTGTGTTTAGTCACTGGAGCTCAATATCAGTATCCAACAAGGTGTAGCTGATTATACCTTGTCTTTTAGTTATTATACAGGGTTTACTCATGTTGTTCCCACTCATCTTTATGATTCCACATCCCTTTTCCATCCACTAGTCCTCCTGTGTTGGGTAGTGGGGGAAATTCTATATCTTCTTTGTGCCATACATGATGTATAGATGATTAATGGATGGAAGAGCCTCAAGGAGAATATCTTCTTAGCCTCACTCAAATAGACACCTTCATAAGGAGCCAAGGTTGTTTGAACTGAACTGTGATAATTACCTAAGAATTTTACAGTTGTTTTTTTCCCCCCCAGGCAATTCATTGAAAAATAAAAGAAAGCTCTGCTCTTCCTGAATTACTTGATCTATCTGAGGGGTTTTCTATAATCTTCCTTATTCTTTATTTTTTTGACTCTGGTTTGGTTATTATTATTATTTGTGTGTGTGTGTATGTGTGTGTTTTATTATCAATACCCAATGAAATTAAGGAAGCATTTGTTTGTTGCAGGGTAAGAACTTTCTTTATTGGATTTCATTAATCACTTTCTCATGTGGCTTTTAGCAGCTCCAATTGCCATGTTGACATATTAAAAAGTAATTCTATGCTTTTTTTGGAAATAACAAAAAGAAAATTAAAAATGTTTTCTTCCTTTCAACAATCCTGTCTTTAAAAAATTGCTTTAGGATTATTGTCATTGATAGACCTAATCTAAACTCAATTTCAATTACAGAGCAGGAGACCTGAATTTTGAAAATTTGTGCTTCTTTCCTTCCTCTGGTAATAAGCATAAGCCTTCTTTTCATTGAGTCTCATTCTTAGGATGGTGTCAACAAAAAAAGTAAGGAAAAGGAAAACTACTCTTAAGGCATAGAAGGAATATATATATATATATATACACACTGCAATTTGAAAACATTGGCCTGTTATTTATTTATTGTTTGTTTTATTATTTGGTGTCTCTTGACAAGAACTATGTAATTTTTATGACTTAAATAAATAATCCCCCTTCTATATACGTACTTCTGTTCACAAGGTAATGGTTGAGAATTTTTAAAACCACAGTTTCCAAATCTTTCATTAGGAGAATTAACTTCTTTAAAGCAGGTATAGGGACCTCCTTGAGCACCTATAGCAAACATGTCAACTGCATTATCATCCTTAATCCAGTTAAATATTTGCCAGTAATGAACTAATGAAACTCTTATTTCAAAATAATCAATTTGATCAATTTTGGTTTTCATATGCACCTTGTCAATACAAGTCGAAAGAAATAATACTCATATCTAACAAAACAGAAAAGGATTATGTCTACTGAGGCAAGTTGAATCATTTTAAAAAACAACTACTGTTTCTCCCTATGGGAGCAACGACATCCTAGTCCAAAAGTTATTAGCTGTAACCTTGTAACTTGCTCTTCTTAATCTGTTGAGAATTTTAAAGCATGTCATTTGGGGACAGAAATCTTTGGAATTGGCACATACTTTGTCATATTATGGGTTTTTTTCCCTCTCTTATGGGGGGATCACTGGTATTTTAAAACTTATCTTTCAAGTTGGGTATCATAGTGAAAATAACATGGAATATTAAATCTTGGAGATTTGAGAGTTATTCCATTTTGTTAAACACAGGAACAGAAACCTAGAAGTGGTTTACCTAACTGCTATCAAATATGGCTAACAAATGTGGCCCTGGTAGTAAAGCCTAGTGATGGGTGATTAGAAAACTACTATAAGAAGCTCAGAAGTGAGTAGCTCATGCTCTGTGCTGTTGCCACATTTGGAGAAACTCTTCTTAATCATTTAAAGACAGTGGCACTGATAGATGAGTTGCCTTAGGCACAGAGGCAAGAAAACAGAGCGTGTGTCTTGGTTACTCTTGGCTGCCTTTGACCAGGTGAGGCAAGTACTCAGGAAAGAGACAAGCATCCTGCAGAAAAATATCAGCCCTTTCAAAACCAAAAAGGAAAAGTAATAGAGAAAAATCCAGGAATGTATCTGTGCTGCATGCGACGATGTGGCTCATCTTTTGTTGATATTCTGTCTCATCTGTGGCTGAGTCATTACATCTCTATGTGCTTTGTGTCTTCCCAATGGGTGTTCACCTAATAAATTCAATCACCTAATGCTGATCTTCACATTGCACTCCCACTTTAAGTTGTCTACCCATGTATTTCTACCCTAGAACTTTTATTTCTAATCTTCCAATCTTTTCACATTCAGTTTCCCCACCAAGAAACTGAGCCCTTTGTCACTACCTATTAAAAACATCTGTAGTCCAATGACCAGCCATACCTCTTTCTATAGAGGGAGGATGACCAGGTGGTCAGAATTTTTCAAGACCACTCCCAAGTGAGGTAGCAGTGCAGTTACTGTTTTTATTTTTTCCTTGCCTTACAACCAGTTATCTAGACAACCCACCTAAGAAACAAGTCTGGGCTTGTTCTTCCTGTGTCAGCTGGTCATGATGACACCCCAGATATTCATAGTTGTGAGATGAGAGAAAGAAAAGCTGTAGGAGGGGAGAAAGGCACACTGCTCTAAATTTCCTGATCTTGGATGTTTCCTGATCATGGATGTTTCTTCTGTGATTTTCTTTTTTTTTTAAGCAGGCTGGAACCCAGAGGAATGACTCCTCTATCTAACCACATAACTTGGTGTTTCTGACATAATTGAGTTTATGATGCATATGGTCATCAGTTGGTGTCCTCAAGTCAGATTTTCCATCATGGTAAGAACTAGCATCACACACAGAAATGTTTTGTTAAAGTGATATACTTCTGTTCAGACAGCAGCCTTGCTCTAAGAACACTAGAACATGAACTGCCATATTTCTAAAGAGGCTTGTTACAGGCTATATGTGATTTTTTTTCCTCATAACCTAACACTTCTAATATTATTGGGTCTGCTGTGATTTATCTCCAAAAGTCAGGTCTGCTTGAAGCACAGCCTAGACATGCTGCTGTCCAGGACCAGCCTGTTGATTTTACTCAAAATTAGCAAATTTTACACCATCCAATGAGTGGAGCTGAGCAGTTGGTTACTTATGTGAATGATACTGCTTCCAGAGAAGTTACCATGGATTGCAATTTTTTCCTTATAATATGAGGTACAAGATATGGTAGTTTGTCTTTTACTTTGTGGGAATAACAGATCATGTCTAACCACAGGGTTCCTAAAAAGTTTCCTGTTGTTGACAAACCCTGAAAAGTTTTGGTATCTATCACCTGTTCTCTGTAGCACATGTATTTAACACAGACCTTCTAGCATGCTTGCTATACTTTGTTGAGCCTTATTATATAAAATCATTAATCAATGAAATGGTTTTGGGGATGTCCAAATCTGCCTTTTGGGTATCCATGACAATCAGACTGTTTACGTCAGTTTTAAAAATGCTTGGGCATTTTCTTTTCCCCAGTATATAGATACCTAGTTAAATAGTTGTAGAAACATGGTAGGAGAACTGTGAATGCGTGTCTGCCAAGGTACAGTGAGGATTTTCTTCTGGGGTCTTAGCTTCTGCTTAAGTCAGTATGTTTTGGTTCTAAAAACTGGTTTAGATTCAGAATTTGGACATGGCATTATGACATTTATTGAAGTTACAAAGTTCATCAAACTTTTTAGATGGTACAAATTTAGTTATATTCTTTTGATCTGCTGACAGAACAAGAGAAGTCATATTCTATCACTTACCTTACTCTCAGTAGTTACTCATGTCTGCTACTCCAACCCTATCACTAATTATATTGAGTTCATCCTTTTGGTTCCTGAAATTTAAGCACTGCTGAGTTTGGTATCCCTCTCATAGCACTTTCCTATGGCTTGGGGGTTTCCTGTTGGACCAAATATTTGGCCTTATACACCCAGTATAGACAATACACTTTACTGAGAATTTTCTTTTTTTCTCCATAATCTATTATGGAAATTCTGGAACTTAAATTTCACTTTAGAATAAGGATTCATGGTCTGGAAGCCATACTATTAAAAAAGTTTTTACTATTGTCTAGCATCTTTGCCAGGACGGCAAATCCTAGATTTTGCAAAAGTGCTTCCTAAACAATAAATGTTTCTTTATCCAAGGGGATCATACTTATGCCATGCTAAATTGAGAGACAGAGAAGGAGAAAACAGAGATGGACCATTCCATAGGGTCAGATGTTTCATACAAGCCTAGAAACTCAGGATTTGGGGGAGCCATGTTTTCAACCATCCCCATCCCAAATACAAGTACAACTTTTTCTCCAGACAGAAATTTAACACTAAGAAAACAGACCTAACAAAAACTTTAACACTAAAAAAGAGAAAACAGACCTAACAAATAACTTAACCTTTTTTAGAGTTGCTTCAAATTGATAATCAACTCTTTAGTTCTTTAGAACCTCATTTTTTAAGTGATGAAAGAGTCATTATATGTTTGCAGGTAGACCTTCTGAAATCACACTTTGCTTTGAAATACACGTTTTTCTTATCTTTTCCTAGACCTAATAGTGCTTACTAATTACTATCAAATTCCACTGTCCTTGCAGATATTTTTTCAGTCATGCATTTCCATTGGGCCAGATAGCATATTCTCTTTCACTAAGCAATTTTAAGTTAATGCTAACTATTTGCTACTCTGCACATCTCACATAAGCAGTCTCAAAACAGTCTTTGGCTCTATGGTTTTTGGTAACATAAGAAAAAAAATGCCTGCATTAGATAAGAGCCCAAGTGAATGAATGAATAAATGAATGAACAAATTATATCAAAAAGTGAGATTTTTTTTGAACCTTGTATGTCCATTTTGTGAAGATACTAGAGCTTGTATTATTAGAGGAAGAAACAGATGATTTGTAAACTCTCCTAAATGTTTCAATTAGAACTCAAACAGACATCAAATGTCAGGTTATCCAATGAGTACAAAGTTTTAATTTTTAGTTTTAACAAAAGAGAGTATATCCTAGATTTTCCTTACAAGAAACATTATCTGATTTTATTTTTAAGAGCTGTGTTATATCATGATGTAAAGCTATTCTGATAATAAAAAAATAATATTAAAAAATAATCAAAAATGAAAAAAACATATGCAAACCCATACAAAAATGTAGCATTAAAAAAAACAGCATAGAAAAAAACAGCATGGACACGTGATTTAAAAATTAAAACTCAGATCTGGTTGAATTTGGTTAAGTCACCTAACCTGAGTTATTTAAGACAATTTCAAATAATTAGCCAACATGGACCACACACCTACCATTTAGTACAAACTATACTCCTTGTCTTGACAAATAATTAAAACTAGGTGTTATGTAACCTTTAGTCAACTAGCAAATAATTATATTTGAATATATTTCATTGGGTAATTTTGATGTATTCAAATCATCTTAATCCCTCTAAAAACACAAAATCATACTGAGTACTTTGAATATTTACTCACCAAAAAGTAAGCATATATGCATTAATCTTTTTTGAATTACACTTAAAAGATGTCTGAAAAGCAAACTATGAACATGGAGTTTTGATCAAGTGGCCTGTGACTACTATTATCCTAGCAGTTGCTCTTCAATGAGGAATGGAACTCACTCTGATCTTTGTAAGTTTCGTGCCATTAAAATTAGATTATGAATGTGGGGAATAAAAGTAAAGTAAATAAAATTTCAGAATCTACTGATTTGCCATTCAAATCTTTATATAAATTATGAGCTATAAATATAATAAGAGTTTTCACCAGGGAGCCAACTATCAAAACCAAAACATCAAGCTGTGATAAAAGGAAGACACAACACTATCTTGAGAAAAATCTCAAGAAGTACTATACAACTTTACTTTCTTAGTTTGAATTTCATCCTCACTGAGTTAGTTATTCACTTCTAGAATTGTGTGGTACATTTTGAAACCTACAGAAGGATCCAAATTTAGGATAAAAAAAAATATGAAACAACAGTACCTTTTCCAAATATCTTGGCACACTGGTTATCAGTACTTCGGCATTGCCCATTATAACAATATGCAGTTCCAAACCTGCACAAGTATCCATTCAGTGCATAAGTGTCAGGAACACAATGGCTGGAAGTTCCATTGCAATATTCTGTAAAATCACACTCCTGGTCAGTACTCTTTCTACACGGAGTTCCTGCTACTGAAAACTGGAGGAAAATGAAAAAGAGAATTATGTTCTGTGAATTCCTTAATTAATTACTGAAGAGATTTATCAAAGAAAACATGCCTGGTCAGGGCTAGGGTTGTGGCTCAGCGCTAGAGTGCTTGCCTAGCACGTTCAAGGACCTGGGTCTTCAGCACCATATAAAACCCATACAAAAATGTTCCAGGTCCTCAGCACCACATAAAAATAAATAAAATAAAGGTATCATGTCCAACTGCAACTAAAACTAAATTAAAAAAAAAACATGGCTGGTTATTGATAATTGAGGGAATGGCAGAATTCCTGAGGCTAAGAGTTCTCCCAAGGAAAAATAAGGTACAACATTCATTGAGAAGTCCAGGAAAGAGTAACTATCTCAAAGGTCCCTCTGACATCAGGCTTACAACTTCCCACCTGTGTGGTTTCCTTCAGTGTGAGGCAGTTTGATACAAGCAGCATTTAAAGGGAAACTAAACAGACTGGTCAAACTGGTCAAATGTTTCTTAAAATTGAAGGAACATTACCACTACTTTTTTGTTCTTAGAGAGATCAAGAAGCCAGTCAATCTAGCTTTAGTCCCTAGCTTTGACTCGTATTAGCTTGTTTGTGTGAACACAAAATATGGTATCTCATTTTACAATTGTAAATTTAGAGTAATAATCATAATTTCATAGAGAATTTAATATTGGTATTAAATTGACTTAATGGAAAATGCTTAGAATGCTTATAATACTTGATAACAGTGTATATAATACTTATCAAACCAACATCATTATATTTATCATTACCAGAGAGCATAAAGGTCTCCCTGCATAGCTCAGAGTGTGTTTAGTACTAAATGTTTGTGACTTGCTGAAAAAACAATTGGTTATCCTTTGCATTTCATAGCAAAGTCCACCACATCCAAATGCTGTTTCCCTCCTTTCTTTCTCTTCTCTCTCTGCTCGCCACACATACCCAGACAGTAAAATCCATGTTGATACAATTGCTTATTTAATAAAGCAAAGGTGAGAAATAAATGAAGTGGCATCTTAAAAGTCATGGAAAGGAAAATTGAATCAGAAATAAGAATCTTCTACACAAACAAATTAGATTAGATAATTTGTTTTCAGCAGACCCATATTACAAAAAAATATTAAGGAAAGGTTTTCAGGACAAGAAATATAAATCTAAACAGACAAAGGAAATAAGAGCTGGAAATTGAATAAATTGTATTAATTATAAATTTTTATTTTTCTTCTTTCACTTGGTCTAAAAGATAAAAGGCTAACTAAAGCAAAAATAGCAACAACATATTTTGTGTTTGGAGTAAACATGAATGTTCTTTTATAAGATCAATTTATTACACAGGAAGTGGTAGGTTATAAGAAATTAGCCTCTGATTAATCAAATACTTGTAAATTTTGGAGCAACCAGTGAAATTATTTTTAAGATGTATAAACAGCAAACCAATAGAGAAGATAAAATAAAACTAGCAGTTGTATAGTTTTAGAATTTATATTTAATTTGCAAAGCAACTGTAAATTTTAAAAGTTACTGGTTGGAATTCAAAGTAGCACAGTTTCATATGCATTTACTATATGGTTCAGCAATCCTACTTCAAAGTATCCAGTTAAAAGAAATGGCACACTATGCTCATATACAGTCTACTATTTTGTAGTAGGTACATTTTTTATTTCCCTAAACTGAAAATGACCCAAATATTCCTCAACTGGGGAATGAATAATAAACTGTGGTATGTCATTCTACTCCTTTCAATACTATTCAGCAACAAAATGAATGAACCCATAAACCTGCGTAAGAATGAATCTCAAAATCATTGTGTTAAAATGCCTAATTCATATGTTTACACATATTGTATGATTTAATTTATGTGACATTTGTATCAAAGCAAAATTATAAAGGCAGAAAACAGACTGGTGGGTACTAGGAGCTGTGGGTGAAATATGGATTGATAGCAAAGAAGTAAGGGAGGGGGACTTGTAAGGGCATGACAGAATAACCTAGCCTTGGCTGTGATGTTATCACTTATAACACTCAGAAATCCTCACAAACAGAACTTTGCAGCACTAAGTTAGATCTTAATAGAAAAAAATGGGAAGAAAGAATATACATAATATTTAAGTCTAAGTGATTGACCAGAACTGAAATAATAAAATATTTTGTATTGGGGAACTTGATTTCCTATCCAAACTCATTGTATTGAGATAACTTAAATTAATAACCCACATTTACAAACTTTTTTACATTAAAGAATAATTTACAATTATGTAAATAATTATATTCCAATATAATAACCATTGTTCCTATATGTGAGTTTTTGCATATTTTGCATATTAGACATTGCGCCTATTTTTAATGTTATAATTTCTTCATAATTAGTCACTTATTCATTTCACTTTATGATTTATTTAAGCACCAATATTTTTGATATTGTAATATATATATTTTCCTTGTCCTCTTTATTTGATAATTTAGAAGATGGTAAGCTTTGTGGTTTCAACACTACAGAATAATCAGTACCAGTCGGAGATGTCTTCTTTATTTCATACCAATTTTCCTTATATACTTATTTGTTTATGCAATTTATGTTTTATTTCACTCAATTAATTCTATATGCTTTTTATAAATTTCATATTGATTCAGTTAACACAGCCTTCTGTTATTGAAAATCAACTTCCTCTTCAGGAATGTCAGCAACTTACCTCACATTTGGATGTACAACATGGTCCAGAGCCACATTTTACTGAGCCTTTCAGTTTACAAGTCTTAAAATCACAACACTTTTTAAATTGACATTCCTAAAATTCCAAAAGAAGAGCTATTATTCCAGTTGAACAACTCAAAAACTTGTTTCTTAATCTTAACTTCAATTCAAAACTCCATGTTCAATTTACTAATTATATGCAATGAAGCATTACTTTCTTTTACTATTTCTGGGCTACCCATTAAGAACTAAGAAAACAGCATCTAAATTAGCAGTTGATCAGTAACATTTACTGGCTAAAATATTTAGAAACTTACTCATAAATCACTAGCATGATGGGGTAGAGAGAGAAGATGGGAGGGG